TCAGCTTTCTCTCTCTTTTCTTTCTCTTGTTTCATCTGCTTCTCTTTCTGGGCCTTCAGCGCTAGCTTGCTGTGGTGAGCAAAGGCATCCTTGACGAGCTGAAGAACACAAGGGATTTCATTTAAAACTGAGGGACGGGTGGAGTTGTGTGCTTATCACTGAACTCTTGAATGTGACACGAGGTATAGATCGAACAGCAATGCTCACCTTCTCTGCTGCACCTGAATCTCCACCAGTGAAGAAATCAGTTTTGCGGCGGAGGAAGCTGAAAAATGTGTTTACTAACTGTTGACAGAAAATAGGTCAAGAATAAGTTACAAAATCCATATAACAGATTACAGCTTTGGACTTTATGGACTTTGTGTCTGAAATAAATTACTGCTTGGATGGGAGAGCCTTCCTTTTCTGTGCTGGGTGTCTGCTTGTTCACGACTCTTAAAATACACCATTGTTACCAAACATTCGTTGCGCTTTAGCTTATGCATCTGTTTCCAGATCACATCCTTCACCTTTTCCTCATAACAGCAGATCTCTTTTAGCAAATACATTTTCTTCCAGAACCTTCACTCATCCGGGACACAACGTCACATTACTACAGTAAGAACATTACTTGTAACGAACATTACTTTTAACAGCTTCTATCAGGACCATGGATCATCTAATAGACATGCTCAAACAGAACTAAGTTCATTTTTTGCTAAGTTGTGCTGTCTCCTTAGTCACATGTATGCCAAATTCACCAGAACACTCCGCAGACTGTAGCTAAGATAGCCCACGAAAGCCATGATTATTAATAACAAAATCATTTTCTAAACTTTGCAAAACAGTTTAAAACATTATTCTTTGTTCGTGTTCGTGACTGCTCATAGGCATGGTGTACATACTAGCTTACATGCTAACCACGTTAGCGTTAGTACAGTAGCTTTAGCATGTTAGCACGGCGATGCACTGCTTTACCTCTTGCACCCCTCCTTCGTGTTGCTGCGCCATAACAAGCAACATGCCGTCATATTTTTCTTCATCTTCACCCATGCTGACTGACTGAGAAACGGAATCAGGACCGGCGCAAAAATCAAGCAAAACAAGTTCTGTTAGAAAGAAAGCAAAGCTGTTCTGTGAGAGTCACGCTGAACACTTCCTGGAAACAACCCCCTTCTTGCTCTTGTTTCGACCAATTGGAGCAATACACTGTTACTGATAGCTAAAACACCCAATAAATGGAAGGCGCTGTTTTAGGGCGGGACTCGGGCTTATTTGAAGAATAAGAATATTCTAGAGAAGAGAACGGAGCCATGATTGAAACTTTAAATTTATCCAGTTGAATGCTAATCGTCATGTTCATTCAACATATTGGATTAAAATAATAATAAAATCTAGCCTGCTGCCGTGTTATAGCGGATAGATAGAAATAATAGGTGCAATTTGCTGGTAAATGGAGGTTTAAGCAGCTAGTTGTTCTTCCTTTTTTAAAAACACAATCACAGACATAAACAAGTATGAAATATCCCATAAAAAGCAAGATGAAAATATAAAAAGTCAAATTTCCAACCTTAGTTGTTAAGACAAAGTTACACTGTGATTTTGGTTATGCAACCTGTTCTATGATAAAGAACCACCTCATCACTAACATTCCATAAACGCTATTATTTTTCTGGACAGTGTAGTTAATAATCCAGCCATCCATACACCCATTTACTTTCTTCCACTTATTCTTGGCTGGGTCATGAGGGCAAAAGCCTGAGCAGAGAAGCCCAGATTTCCCTCTCCGGGGCCACCCCCTCCACCTTATCCAGGGGCATTCCCAGGCGAGCTGAAAAAATAATCTCTCTAGGGTGTCTTGGGTCTACTGGGGCCTGCTCCTGGTAGGATATGCTTGCCTGTAACACTACCCAGGCACCCTCGGCACACTGGAGTATCAGCTCTACTGTGAAGCCTGCTTGAATAACCAAACTTCTTATCCTATCTCTAAGGAAGAAGTCAGACAACTTTTTAAGAAAGCTTACTTGTGTCACTTGTATCTGCGATCTCATTCTTTCTGTCACTACCCAAAGCTTGTAATCTTAGGTAAGAGTAGGGATGTAGATCCCCTGTTAATCAACAGCTTTGCCTGTTGCCTTATCACAACAGACCAGTTTACATCACTGCACCTGCACTACTCATCTTACTCATGAAAAAGATCCTGATATACTTAAACCCCTCCACTTGGGGCAGAATCTTGTCCCTCACCTGGAGTGGGCACTCCACCCTTTTCCAGCTGAGGAGAATGGCAAACTTGCCCCCAGTGATGGATCAATCATCCCGCTCGACTTTACTTCCTCTACAGAAAATGTGTAAGGAGGTCCTTAATACCTATATCAGTTGAAGTCGGCACCACTCCACTTGCATTATTCACATGTGAGCAGAGTAATGATTTCCCCTCCTGAATGTTTGTCAGAATCACTTCACCGCAGACTGAAAGTCTTTTTCCATGGCCTCACTGAACTCCTTCCACACGGCGTCAAGGCGTGGTTAGCTCACTAATGCGTTGACACCGTGCAGCCCCACGCATGGGCCGATCTGCGTTAATCGCTAACGGAGATTTGCCACGTTAATGCAGTTATGATGTTAACGTCATTTTAACGAGATTAACGCTGACAGCACTAGTGTAGACACAGCAGTGGTTTCCAATAGTGGTTCATCTCTTAAATGCCTTTTTCTATGCTAGAATGATTCATAGGTTAGCCTTAAGTAACTTAACAAAAACAAAACAAACAAAAAGAAACAAAAAAACCCACTGAATGAAACAATGAAAAACTAGAACTATTGCTCAGGACCACTTTAAAAGTTTGCAGCAAAGGCTGGCATAGCAAAATCAGCATCAGCAGTGCTAAGATAGGTCAATATAATATAATATAATATAATATAATATAATATAATATAATATAATATAATATAATATAATATAATATAATATAATGGCAGCACGGTGGCACGGTGGTTAGCACTGTTGCCGCACAGCAAGAAGGTCCTGAGTTCAATTCCACCATCAGGCCGGGGTCTTTCTGTGTGGAGTTTGCATGTTCTCCCCGTGTTTGCGTGGGTTCTCTCCGGGTACTCCGGCTTCCTCCCACCGTCCAAAGACATGCAGCTTGTGGGGATAGGTTAATTGGATAATCCAAATTGCCACTAGGTGTGAATGTGCGAGTGAGTGTGAATGGTTGTCTGTCCCTGTGTGTTGCCCTGCGACAGACTGGCGACCTGTCCAGGGTGTACCCCGCCTTTCGCCCTATGACAGCTGGGATAGGCTCCAGGCCCCCCGCGACCCTGAAAAGGATAAGCGGAAGCGAATGGATGGATGGATGGATAATATAATATAATATATTTATAATCCCACTGACACGTCTTCCGAGGAGGAAGCAGAGTCTGGGGATGAGGGGAATGACCCGCCAATTTCCGGGGGCGAGGTCACTGAGGCAGTTAAACAACTCCTTGGTGGCAGAGCCCCTGGTGTTGATGAGGTCCGCCCCGAGTTCCTGAAGGCTCTGGACGTTGTAGGGCTGTCCTGGTTGACACGCCTCTGCAATGTTGCGTGGAGATCAGGGGCAGTACCTGTGGACTGGCAGACCGGGGTGGTGGTCCCCATCTTTAAGAAGGGGACCGGAGGGTGTGTTCCAACTACAGGGGGATCACACTCCTCAGCCTCCCTGGGAAAGTCTATGCCAGGGTGCTGGAAGGAGAGTTCGTCCGCTAGTCGAACCTCGGATACAGGAGGAACAATGCGGTTTTCGTCCTGGTCGCGGAACACTGGACCAGCTCTTTATCCTCTCCAGGATACTTGAGGGTGCATGGGAGTTTGCCCAACCAGTCTACATGTGTTTTGTGGACCTGGAGAAGGCATTCGACCGTGTCCCTCGGGGTGTCCTGTGGGAGGTGTTGCGGGAGTATGGGGTGTCTGGCCCATTGCTACGGGCCATTCGATCCCTATACAACCGTTGCAAGAGCTTGGTTCGCATTGCCGGCAATAAGTCGGACTCGTTCCCGGTGGGTGATGGGCTCCGCCAGGGCTGCCCTTTGTCTCCGGTTCTGTTCATAATTTTTATGGACAGGATTTCTAGGCGCAGCCAAGTGGCGGAGGGCTTTCGCTTTGGTGGCCTCAGAATCTCATCTCTGATTTTTGCGGATGATGTGGTTCTGTTGGCTTCATCGGGTGAGGGCCTCCAGCTCGCACTGGAACGGTTCGCAGCCGAGTGTGAAGCAGCGGGAATGAGGATCAGCACCTCCAAATCTGAGGCCATGGTTCTCAGCCGGAAAAGGGTGGAGTGCCCACTCCGGGTCGGGGATGAGTTCCTGCCCCAAGTGGAGGAGTTCAAGTATCTCGGGGTCTTGTTCGCGAGTGATGGGAGAAGGGAGCCGGAGATCGACAGACGGATTGGGGCTGCAGCTGCAGTAATGCGGACGCTGCACCGGTCCGTCGTGGTGAAGAGGGAGCTGAGTGTAAAAGCGAAGCTCTCAATTTACCGGTCGATCTACGTCCCTACCCTCACCTATGGCCACGAGCTGTGGGTAGTGACCGAAAGAACGAGATCGCGGATACAAGCGGCAGAAATGAGCTTCCTCCGAAGGGTGGCTGGCCTCTCCCTTAGAGATAGGGTGAGAAGTTCGGCCATCCGGGAGGGGCTCAGAGTAGAGCAGCTGCTGCTCCACATCGAAAGGAGCCAGCTGAGGTGGTTCGGGCATCTGACAAGGATGCCCCCTGGGCGCCTCCTGGGTGAGGTGTTCCGGGCATGTCCCACCGGGAGGAGGCCCCGGGGCAGACCCAGGACACGCTGGAGAGATTATATCTCTCGGCTGGCCTGGGAACGCCTTGGTATTCCCCCGGAGAAGCTGGAGGAGGTGGCTGGGGAGAGGGAGGTCTGGGCCTCTTTGCTTAGGCTGCTGCCCCCGCGACCCGGCCCCGGACAAAGCGGATGAGGATGGATGGATGGATGGATATTTATAGGCTCATGTGATTATTGGTTGAATAATTTTATGAATTGTGGACTTGTATATTCTCTTGTATATTCAGAAGCTTTTCAATACATATAGAAGAACATAGCACATAGCCGACAGTGCATACTGTCATTTTGTCTTGTTTCAGTGTTTTCCATAGGTTTTCTTTTTTCTGTAGGTAAGCACCATACAGCACACCTCATCTTCAAAGTATAGTAGGTAGCTAAAAAGTGGTGCATAGACAACATAACGGTGTCTTGGCAGTGATAATTTCGCCTTAATGGAGACATAAGTCCAGACATACAGCTAATGAGGTTGATCCCCGGTTGTTTGCTTCATATTGCTAGGTGACTGTGATCTCAGGAGCAATCCATTATTTGAAGACAACAGAGGAGGAAATGTTACAGATGGGGGAGTAGGACCACAGCACATTAGATTCAAAACATAAGGTGTGCCTATTCCCGTTAATCATAGCTTTTAGCATAGTCAGATGTCACATTTAATGTTAAATGCACATACATATCCTATTAGACACTATTTGTTTTGTTTTCTGTCTTTTCACTACCTAAGCAATTACCTGGTTGCCAAGAAGGGGGCTCTTGGCAACCATGTGTACTCACCTTCCCCTAGCTGTGCTTACATCACTCCTTCCTTTCATAAGTTAGCTGTGTTTTCCTGTCAATTTCTTGTATGAAATTTTTATTATTTTTAGTTTCTCTCTACTTTGATTTTCTTGTGTCTGATATCTGTTAGATCTGTTTTATGTTGCTCCCTTTTGGATTTATTTGATATGATTAGTGAACATCTGTGCATGATCTTAGGACTTAAAGATACAGTGTGTAAAATACCACTGCTAGATGTCAGTAGGTTGCAGATTGCAGTCAAGTGAATTTTAACTTCTTACCCTTCGCAATGTAAGTGCATAATCCTTGCTACAGTGTAGGGGAAACAACTGCTGTTCATCTGTGGTCAGCGTAGGCTGTCTGTCTGCTGTTTACCTCAGCTGTCAGTATGCTGACTGTCCACACCTATTTATTGTGGTGGAGGCTGTAAAACCTTCTGAAAGGAATCTAAAAGGAGTTGATGAGTCAGTGAAGCTCATTTCTGTCTGATGACAGCGATACAAGCAATGTTATTTTTGCTGCTATTCACTGGCGTTACTGAGACTTTCTCTGAAGTGGATATAACATTAATGTACACTTAATGAATGAACTCTCATAATATGTGTAAATGTTATCAAACTGTTAACTTGAGGGAAAGTGTGATTTTTAGGACACTCGAGCCTAACATTAGGTGGCATAGTGTTAGCTTATAACCAGCTGTGGTTATTGTTTAGACAACCTTTTTATTAGCTGTCTGGAGATGGGAGTGTCACATGCCTAATCAGTTGGCAAGAAGTTTTATTACCTGCGCCAATATCAGGATAATGCATGTTTTCATGTGCTGGTGCCCTGACTTTAGTTCTGGAGATGAGGCTTGAGGTAAGGATTAAGAGGATGAGGTTGAAATGAGGAAGGAAAAAGACCTAAAGAGAAAGAGATGATGAAAATATACACGCACAAATGTTAAAGGGTCATACAGAGTTTTAAAGCGTTATTTGTGATCTTTAAATTACAAGTAACTTATGGCATAGTACTTATGTGGCTGGTGTCTAGTTACATAAAACGCGATTAGATGGAAATGCTAAGTCTCATCCACTGTTTTTATGAGGGTGGTGAACAATTTGTTGGAAGACATAATTATACACTAATCATTGTATATTTATGAGTACAACATTTTGTTTTCTACGAAATAAGCGAATCTTGTAAGCAATACAAAAATGTTACATTTATTAAGAGAGCTGCTTTTTGTCCACAAAGACTGTTCCTGAATGTAGTGTTCATCCAAGTGTCACGAAAATCACAAAAAATAAACCCATTATTACTGTCAATGGCTGCTTATGTCAATATTATACTTAAACAAATAAACAACAAATGTGAAAACACATGATCTTATTCTTAGCTAGGATTATGCAGGAACTCCAGCAGAAAAAGAAAGAGAGGAAAGACTGTCAAAAATAATGCACGCTCTGACTCCCTCATGTGGCCATACTCTCAGTGACAAACAAAACATCTGTTTTTGTTCCACTTCATAATCTTTATTGGTTTAAAAAAAGCCACATCTGATATCAGAGATTAGTTCCTGATACAACATATTTCTGCTGAAAAAAAAAGAAAAACAAAGAGAAACACCTAAACATTCGATCAGCTACAGCTATAATGTGTCATTAGCAACAAAATGCAAAAGGCTTCACCAAACAATTCAACCCTTTCAGTAAAGTAAGAAGTATAGTTTGATAGATATAGTCAGCAATTCATTACTTCACCTAAATTTTGGTCTTCGTGGTCCAAACCAGAACAAGTTTCCCATCATTCCATTCTAACCATGCTGGGGTTGGGCACTACAAAAACTTCAAGTATTCTGGAAGATTTTACAGAATGATTACAAAAAAAACTTTATTCTTTACACATGTAAGTAAAACAGATCGTGGGTGACACATTGCAGAATACGTGAACTAGTTTACCATTTGTATTAAATTACTACAGTTATGTTCCTTAACAACTGTAACCATAAACTGATAATGCTAAAGGGCAAAAAAAAAAAAAATGGACTGAGTGACTCAGCTGGGAAAATCCCCGTCAGGACCCGAGGGTAAATACAGCAAGTACATTTGTTGTCATGAAAACACACCTTCACTTCATGAGTCAGCTTGAGATAAACATCGCTAATAAGTTACAGCGCACGATACAACCTACAGTGTAGCTGCAGATCACGCTGGCTCACATAATATTTGAGAATTGAAAGCAAACGGTAAAACAGTCACAATCAAAATGTATCCAGCACACAGTTAAGATACGAGCTTAAGAGTTATCAGCTTTGTATGAACTTCATGTTTTGAAACAAATAATAAACTGATTTGAAAAAACAAAAAACACATTCCATGTTGTCTGAATATTAACTAATGATATGAAATATTTAAAAAAACAACACCTGAAGGCTTTTTTTGCAGCCTTTAACTTGTATTTCCAATTGGACGTAACGAAACACAATACAATTACAATGAAAACTCTACTTTTCCTCTACATAGAAAGTATGCAGTGACACCAACCAGGTGCTTCACTTAGAAAATTATTCAAATTCCGGAAACTATCAGAACTTTATGTAGACTCATTAACTAAATATTTGCGACATAGCCACAAAACTGAAAGCAAACACATACTCATCAAATCAACAATAATGAAGGCATTTGAAATGTGCAAAACAACAGAAACAACACCAACGACAAACTTTAAATCTAAGAGTAAAATCAGAGCAAGCTCGTAGGATCCTAACTCCTTCAAGGACGAGGGGACGGTTATACAACATGTATGATACATCACCTAAGAGCTGCTGATGACGTCTGCCTGCAGGACAAGCTCCCCATTAAGCAATCCTTCAAACACAAACATAACATTTATGAACCAGAAATATCTACACACAGAGCCCTGAGTTCACTGAAGTCCTTCAGACAATGTGAAATTTCACATTTTCCTTTTGCCACAGCAAAGCCACGGTCTCTGCAAACAGCTTGGCTCAGCCAGGCACTCGTGTGCAAGTAGGGTCTCCTTTCGAGGTCCCGTATGTCACCTTTTGGACACAGTTTGACAAATAAAAAAAAATGTGGTGAGTGAATCATGTTCTCACATAGGTGCGGATCAGCGGGACACCTGAAGAATTTGTCTCTGTGTGTGAAGTGGAGTATGATGTCGGGGAACTAGAAGTGTGACCTGCAAGAACACAGAACAGAAAGAAAAGCTATCATGAGCATGAACATGCAAACGTGGCAGACTCATTTTGCTTCCTTGCATATCATACAGACAATACACATAATGTTTGTGTGGCAGTAAGAGTAAAGTCACCAAAACTGATACTTTCAATACCGATCCAAGCAAAAATGGCAACAACACAACAGTACTTGTTTTTTGACACACAAGAGTAAAGTTCGCTGTGTGGTTTCCTGTTGTTTGTTTTGCTTCACATACAAATGGAAGAGGATGCACTTAAACCAGTGTACGGGTTATGCAAAACACAAACCTGACTATGTTTCATACTGTTCCACTCATCTACAGGCAGCACTCACACTGCAGGGAAGGACACAATCAAATAACAACACTGGCAACCACCAGTGCTACCCTTCAGCTTCCTAGTAGACATACCAGTTTCAAAATGCTACGTCACCTTGTTTGTGAGTTATTGCATTCGCAAGGTTTTCAGAAAATTGGACCTCCGACCTTGAGCTCAAGGTTGCTGAGATTCAAACTCATCCAAGATTTTTAATAGATGCACCTATTGTATCAATTTGAAGGTCCTACATTGCTTGTTTTCAGGTTATTGCATTCACAAACGTAGGTGTCCACGCCACCTGCTCACCCAGAGCGGTGCCTTTCACAGGTTAAAGACCACTTGCTGTTAAAGGTCTTAATAACTGCTTAGTTTTGTTGATTGTTGTTAGTTCCTTTTCTCATTTCTCAGATCAGGTGTGAATCACCATCTACTTAGAAACATGAGTTCTTGGTGTCAAAAGGCCTGTGTTCATTTTATGGCTATAGAAATCTCTAAAATTTCACAGAAGTCATATTTTCAATAAACTACTCTGCTACTGTTGGTGTAGTGGTGTAAGCTTTCTACACAGGAGTGGAAATATATGTATGTGGATGTTTCAAGATCTCAGCAAGTGCTACTACTGCTTAGTTCCACATGTGACGGTGTCGGACCCTTCCATGGTTCTGTCATCTGTACATTGTAACGCACTTTTGTTAAAATTTTGTTGAATTTTTAGATGGATGGTCCATAAAATTTGGACCGTGGTTCAGGTGGTTGGGAAGCTCATCTTGTAACGGAAGGTTGCCGGTTCGATCCCCAGCTCTGTCTGTCCTGGTCGTTGTGTTCTTGGGCAAGACACTTCACCCTACCGCCTACTGGTGATGGCCAGAGGGGCCGATGGCGCGATATGGCGGCCTCGCTTCTGTCAGTCTGCCCCAGGGCAGCTGTGGCTACAACCACCAGTGTGTGAATGTGAGAGTGAATGAAAAGCGCTATATAAATGCAATCCATCATTATTATTAAATGTGAACCTCTTCCAAATGTTCTTGAACTGTGTTTCTTACCTACTTAATACTTGTATGTATATTTTTTTATATAAAATATGAAAATTGCTTGCTATTGTTATACAGATAAGCATAACTTCATGATATGTTTTGTAGTTTTGCTTCCGGCTTAAACAACCAAGATATGATTGAAGTGCAAACTTTCAGTTTTAATTCAAAAGGTTTAACAGAAGTGCTGAATTAACAGTTCAGAATTTACAGCTATTTTTATAGGACCTCATTTTTAGAAGCATGAAAATAACTAGACAATTGACTAATAGTCAGTTTCATCGTCATGTGATGCCTGTTTTCTTGTTGTTTCATGATCAATCACACAGATAAAAGACTGGATCTTTTTCACTGGATCTGTCAATATGACATCCAAAGAGTTTTGGAAGACCACAGAATATATGTGATTTCAGAACAAGTAACCAAGTCAAAAACACTCAAGGTCTTACAAACGAGAGATGTCTTCATGAATGGAAATGCAGATAATTTACAATAAGGTGCAAACCACTGGTTACATTCAAGAACAGAAGTGCTAATTAGACATT